GCACGCTCTTGTCAATCAGACTCAATTGTATTGGCTCTTGGTGTAGTATCGCTTTTGAATATTCTTGCACATCCCCGATCTCATTTTTCTCTCATGATACGCATATCGGTTGGTGCACATTCTTCTCCCATGTCGTGGTATGAAAGCTTTGCGACAGTCCTTTGGTTTAAGCAGATAGTAGAACGCGCAAGTAATTATCAATAAAATCTGTATGTTTCATTTTATACCGACCATTCAAGCCGTCGACTTCGTAGTATTCCCACGTCCGTCTTCCAACGTCCGAGGGGACGTCTTGAAAGACCAAACTAAAATTGCGCAATCGAAGAGTTTTAGTAATTATTGGTTATTGGCAAACGCAAAATTCGTTGACAATATTTGATAATACACGGACATATAAGTTACCTTCCAAAAAAACGGATTTCCCCTTTTAAGGGGTGGACATAGTCCAGTCTGCAAGTAATAACGCAAATTTAATTATAATTCCGTTTATAGCCACAATATTGCCATCAAATAACACTTACGCTTCACTGAATATTTTTTTCATATATCAAATTGAATTCACGAAGTCTAATCATATCAAACAAAAAGAAGAAGATAAAAGTAATTAGGTTATTGATTTTCATTATACGAAAAACCGTACAACTTAAATCGAATATCAACGTACAATTGGCCTGGTGTAGGTTGCTCGAATCCATTATCGTTCTCGCTTGTTATGTTTGGTGCTGTCAACCATGTAAGTATTGCCAGTCGGAAGTGTTGTTATCGGGCAGTCGCCTGGAACTACCGGATACAGAACCATTTTCATCTTTAACCGTCGAGAGTCCTCATATTTCTCATTTCAGCTGGCTGTTGTTTCTTGACCTGTTTCCGAGCCAACTTTTCCTCCTCTGTTGGACGAATCCCGGCTTCAATACGTGGATAGAAAGATGGTGACTATGCCGAGAGATGACGATGACTGAAAATATGCATATAACTGAGAATATACCGATGATTGAGGATATAACGATGACCGAAGAACTGAGGATATACCGATAACTGAGGAGATGATGATGACTGAAGAGATGCCGATGATTGAGGATATGCATATGACTGAGGAGAAGATGCCGATGGTTGAGGAGATGGAAAAGGATAGCCTGACGAGTTGCTCTGCTGTGTTGACGAATTTCCTGGCTTGTTTGTTAAAACGTACTTTCCAGTGACCGGATTTTGGACGGCTGCTACTAAGATAAGGTCCCTACATTCCTGATCACGTTTCTGAAATAGTCGCGCTTAGTAAGGTGAACGAAACTAGCCGTAAACCAAATCGTCTTGTCAGGATATGTAAAAGCGACATCCCAAGATGTCGACGGCGAAGCTAGATGTTTTTAAAAGGGCATACTATGTTATAATTATGTATTGTTATATACGATAACAGCAAATCTAATATATTACCGCAATCTTTTCCAGCACTCCAA